CGTAGGCGCTGGAATGCAAAAAAAAAAAGAGCGAAAAACACAAAGAGGCAATAATGTTTAAATATGCATGACGTGCAGTACGAAGGAAGAAGTAGTAAAAGTTTGCAAACTATGTAATTTTATGCGCGAAAAACTTTTCTCATTATTGGAACAATATTGCACGTTGGATTATATAGAATGTCAATAATTGGTTCTTTTTTATTTTAACCAACATATGGTGAACTTATTTCTCTGTCGTCAAATTACCTAAGCTAAGAGAGGAAAATGAACGAAGACATGTCAGGTATCCACTACTAGCTTTAAGTAATGCCAAACATTGTTAGTTTTTTAAACATTTGTTGAAGAGTCGTAACGAAATTGACTGTAATTCATCAATATTAATTATGATTATGAGCGCTTTTTAATATTTTGAATAACATTATTCGTGTCTTAGGTTATTTCAAGACAATAAATTCAATCGTTTTAGGGTTCAGAGAAATACTTATATCACGACAGATTAAAAAAAAAAGATCCCATAATGTAAGGTTACATATGTATTTTGCACTACATAAATGAATTCCCATGAGTTTTATTGGCATGTTATCTATTTTTGCTCCATTTTAGCACTCTCAGCTCGACATTAGCTTTATTGCAATAAAAGCAGGAAAACGGTTTTACATCTTATGTATGTTATCTTATGTTTAGCGGAATGAAAGATCCTTAAACTCACTGTGCTAATAAACCATAAACAACAACTACAATTAAGCAACATTTTCTATAAATCTAAAATGTATAGCAGGGAACTAGGCCCACTTATTAAACTATTTCTAAATGATAATTACAAATTTGCACACGGCAGTTTCCCATGCAATTTGAGTATGTGTAAAATATTGGCATAATATGAGATATTGTTATTATTGGCAAAAAATAAACTAGAAGAAACGCGACTTGCAAATAAAAGGAAAATTGTTGTTGAACACAAGCACATCGACACATTCAAGATTTAATAAAGACGTTGAAAAAGCGCAACAATTAATAGAGAAACGGAACAGAAGTGACACAAAAAACACAAGGCAAACGAAGGGAACGAAGAAAAACCGAGTGCGTTAATTAAGTTGGTAATTAAGAAGTAGATTATAGTGGAGTACATTTGCTCGTCTGCGGTCTTGTATAATGTTGATTGTGAGACACACTCACTTAGTAGGAAGTGTGAAAATTTTATATGAGAAGGCAGTAATATATTTTTGCAGAGTCGGTACTTGAATTTAGGTACTCGTATGTACATATTTAAGTATTTGAGACTCCTTGCTAGATTATAAAAGCATATGTATGTATGTATATACTAGCAGACACTGACTTACATAGCAGTCTTGCCCATATTTCGTTGTAAATATCAATTCCTAACAGTAATATGTGGGCGCACCTGAAACTTGGGGTAACTCCGCCAAACCGCAGACTAAAAGATATAAATTGATGATCTCAAAATCCAAAAGCTCAGAGCTAACCACCACAGTATTGACGTCCGGCACATGAAATTTATTTTCCAACCCCCAACAATTACCTGCTAACCTTACGGTAGCATATTGAACACTGAAGACAGCAGCTTATGAACCAACGCACAGTTCACCCTTAAGAGAAAATGTCGGTAAAAGTGCACGAATAAGCGAAATTTTTGCTTATAAGAGCATGTTCTCACATACATACATTAGAGCGTGTTCTCACATACATATGTATGCACATATGTACAGAGGGTGCAAAAACTCGGGAGTTTGACGGAATATATAAAAATGTTTAGCTTTTATTGGCTTAAATACTTCCAAATAAGATAGTAATAGTAAGGTAAAAAAAACGGAACTGCATTTCATATATTTTGTGACGCATAAAACGAAAAATATGTGCCGTACGTATACTTTCCTTACCAACTGTATATCAACATATAATTTTACAATTGAAATAGACAGAACGATTTTCTCTCTGTGCAATTTCCAATACCTAATATTCATGTGGGGTTCATGGCACTCCATATGTGGCACAACTATCAAGACGCCGTGGGTTCAAACACTTTCCGCCCTTGTAGAATACTTGAACTGCCGCTAACCGTGTTTGTTCGTTCGAATTGCGCTTTTCCCCCACTTTAACTAGCCAATATACATTATTGCTAACTCAATTGCCACGTTGTAGTCTTTTTGCAAACGGCAGCTGGTGGCACTCGTGCGGTTGGCGTTGCTACCTACGGCTATTGGCGCTGCCGAACGCTGATTGCTTTGATTATATGCTCCGTATTTCCAATCATGTATAAATAATTAGTTTTATCGATTTCCGGCCACCGCAGAGTAATAAGAAAACAAAAAATATTTAATATTTCTGCAATGCAAATTTAGAAGCTTCTATTTTTGTTGCATTTATTGCATTGTTAAATAATTTGGACAAAGTCAATAATAATTAAATTGTAATGGATCTGATTTTCAAGTTCACACAATTCGAGTTGCATAATTTGCACTTTAGCTTTAACACTTTATCGCCATTTTTATGGTCAGATATGTCAGTATCAATATCAAAGTATACAAATATGCTTCAAAAGGAATAGTATGCGTCCTTATCTGTAAAATGATATTCGAATGGAATCTGAGACTTGAATAAATATACATACAAGTGTACGTAGGAGTATTACTGTTAACACATATGTATGTGTCTGCTATCTAGACTAACGAAAGTGGCCCCGTAATTCTAGATGATTAGCTGAACAAAGAAAAAGTTGATAATAATTACTTGAATCAAAGATGAAATGAAAAGTTAACTACATACAAATATATATGTATACAAGTATATAGTATATATTATTGGCAAACAATTACTGGAAAATTATTGCTCAGAGGCTATAGTCATCATTTTGATATTGTGGCTCTCTTTACGGTTTGTCATTTATTGGTGACGTCTTCTAAAATAAAATAATTGTTCGTATTGTACGAGAAATATAATATTTTACATAATTTCGTAAATTGCAGTGGAATTTTTCCATTGAAATTGAGTTCCACTATATAAATTATCTGCTAAGTTTTCTTTATAGGCTAAATTCTTTAGATACCCTTTCAACGCCACAAGCTTTAAACGAGACAAAAAAACTCACTTAATTCCCATAAGAAACCACACTTAGGAATTTAGTATTCCCGAATTCGGGGTCAAAATGGGTATGGGCTGATAGAGGAGGCTCTCCAGATTAAGACTTTTGGTTTTTGACATATTTGTATTTAAAGTTCATATATTTTATATCAGTATTTATTATGATTTTTGGGGTCTCAATGGCTCTTATTATTCGACTAACCACATTTTGGTTAATGTTTTGGGTATGAAGGGTGTCAAGCCTAAACTCGTGCTAAAATATTTCAATATTTTGCAAAAACGATGTCGAGTAGCGGTCGCAAAATAGATGCTTGACAAGGTAGCTCAGGACATTAATCAAATTCACGTGGGTTTATAAATATGACATCGAAACTTTCCAACAATCTAACGAATGGCGCTCCAAAAATGTGCCGAGGCTTAGAACAAATGTATATGAAATGGATAAAGCGTTGTCATGCTTTACTTGGCTCAGGAGCCTATTTTGAAGGCAATAATAAAGATTTGTGTTAAAACACGTAAAAATGTAATTTTTTTGTCGGTCTGGGTCATATTTGTTCAGATGGTAGTAGTAGTTAGAAAAAGTCGCAAAATTCATATAGAATGAATACTATTAATCTCATCAAAATATACATTCAAGGTTAAACAAACTTACAACAAGCTGAAAGTTAGTTTATATATTCAAAAAAAAATATTAAAAATAAGATACTAAATGAGCTCATCTTTCCGGTATGTGGGAAAAAATACTCGAGGTCAAATGTCACAAATTTTTTTTGCTTGATTTTCAAAAAAAACATTGAGTTGTGTCAAAAAATTACTTTCGTCAATCCCAAATTTATATAAAATATACCTTCTTCCTAAGACCTACCCGTTCTGAGATATAATGCGATATAATAAGCGTTTGTAATGCGTCCAAACTATTTCCTGTTAAATCTAAAACAATTCACAGATAACGGTGAAAAACTAAGCAGCTGACAGTGTTACCAAAACCGAAAAACAACTAGATTTGAAAATAAAACTTTTAAATAATTGAAGGACTTAATATTATATTATATAAATTATTCGTTCAAAGATGTGAGGTTATGTTACAGATTTTTATTAAATAAATAACTAATCCTTCTATAGCTTCAACATCTCTGGGATACGCATTTACAAGTACATTTATATTTGAACCCAGGTTCCACTGTATGGTAGTTACGCACACAAATTTCGCAGATACGACGATTATAGTCATTATAATATTATATAATGAATATAATCATTGTGGTTTATGTGTTGAAATTAATTAAAGAGAAAACGCAGTTCACTGAAAATGAATATAATTATCGAAATATTAAACCATATTATTGCAAAATTTTACAAATAAACCAACGAATTATTTGATATATTACTGAGACTCTAGACATTTTGTTAATATAGTTGGGTACCGCATCTACGTTTGGGAAACCCGCTTTCCAAAATTGTAATAATTAAAAAATGTGCACATTATGTTAAAAAATTAAATTTTAAATGAGAAAATTAGTTCCACAAGTATAATAAATTCATGCAAAACAGAGCGACAAGCTGCAGGCCACAATAAATAAACCTTTGTAATTACAAACAAAATTACACATACCATATTTATGTACTATATGTATGAGTATATATACTTGTACATATACTCATTTAAAAAAGAAAACTCAGCTATACAGCGGTGGTTATGAAAAACCAAACAACAGCAACAAAAAACATGGAAGAGACGGACTGCAGTCAAAATCGATTTTTCCAAGGCAATACAGGAAGTTGTAAGCCAACGTTGTGACATATTTCTTTTCGTACATACAAACATACAACATTTGACATTTCACTAATTTTGGGAAAATCTTCATGGTAAATATTTGTTATGGAAAATAAATAAATGTTACCTTTAATTTTAAGTTGCGAAAATATGTTGTAAAATTTTGGAAAAACTCTACGCTTTACGTATCATTTGTTATTACTTTTGAAAAACAAAGACGAAAGCACGCTGCAGCACAGTTATCCTTGATTAGAGGCAGTTCACCGTTGCACTAGCAATTTTTTCACTTGTAAAAAATTGTGTGAGATAATAAGCTATTAATTTAATGCAAATTAAAATATTTTTACACTTCTTTAGATGTGACAATGCATAAATAACACTTTTTATTTAATTTTATTGCTGCATTTGAGAGTGATTCGGCATACAACTACAGCGCACTTTTACTACAAATATTTTGCACTTACAGATGCTTACCACTTTGCCGAAATAGTTACAACTAAACAACCGAACTTGACACGAAAACGTCGCAGGGCAGCGCAAAAGCACCCAAGACAGGCGTAGTTTTTGCTCTATCAGAGTATGTTACTTTGGTGCTACGCCTGGGCAGGTGCCTCGAAAAGATAGTAAACCAACCGAATTGCATAAATATGGCAAATGATTGCTGGTACTCGGTAGAAATCACTACAAATTGCAGTTACACTAAAGAATTCGTATGTATGTTTGGAGAATTGACACACAAAACCACCAACAATGTGACATTTAAATTTGCAATTAAGCTATGGTGAATTTCTTGCAGCAAAAATGTTGCGCACAAACCTTCGCACAAAGAAGGTGTAAGCGAAGAATCGGATATAAAACACAACGCACTGTTATATTTCGAAAATAAATGCCGAAATTGCAATTACTTTTTAATGCTTCTCACTTTTTTTTTTTTTTTTTTGTAATAAGCACATTTTTCTGAGACACAACGCATAAATCGCTTTGCTACACTAGTACAGAAAACGTCGCCAGCCGATTCATTGAGGTATCGAAAATCCGCTACCGCGTAGATACAGAAATGGAACGCGATTGAGAGCAAAGTTGCTGGCCACCACCACCGATACCCACCAAATGAATAACGCTGCCGCTACTGCTGCTGCTTCCGCCCTCCTACAGCTACTGATATGGCTCGTAACGTGAGATTTATGCTACGCTCGCACACATAACCCGCGCGACCAGAGTGCGCGTGTACTTATAACGCTGCCAATGGACATATGTATTTCAACACCAATCTTTTATTTTCATTCTATTTTCATGTTGCTTCAAAATATTGTGACTCTCCCAGCTTTTTAACGAAATAATACACCTTTTGTCTCTATCACCTCAAAGTACTACAAAGGTATGCTGTCGACCCACTGGAGCTGACCAACATAACTATTGTCTGAATGCACCTATGGTAGAGGAGTAATAAAAATCTCTCATTCTCTCTTATGAGCACGCTTATGCTCAGTTCTTGAAACTGGAGCAGGAAGGTTTTCTTGGTTTTTGAGCGTGGTGAAGTTACGTTTCTTACATGTACATTTGTATGTATAAAAGGTAATAACCAGCCATGCAGAGATTAGCCGATGATACAATGTAAGTCAGTCTGACAGTGGTTTCTGGTTGAAGAATAAAGTTACTCGGGAACCTTTACGGAAATTTTCTACATATTCTAACAAATCTCATTTTAGTTAATTAATCAATATTTAATATATAAATTTTAATTGGTATGTGCCCCAAGGGGTTGGTGATGAGGAGGAAAGCTATATTTTCGAACCAAGTACAAAACGTTGAATTTTCACAACTTCAACAAGAGCCGGTTCAATGTTACCGGAATTGACCCGAATTTTACTCGACCAAAGGTTGTTATTTCGGAAACTAGCCATGTTTCGATAGTACATCGAGTAGTTGAATTTTCTATGAAGCTGAGGTCCGGATGAGCGTTGCTTGAGCGTTAACCTGCGGTATACTGCTGTTAACGACATCAAACGATTGCAGTATTTCTCCTCTTACCGTGAAATGACGACGATATTTTAGGCAGCTACCCCAGCAGTGGGATCTACGTAACCGGACGGACCTGGATTTTTATCCGGCCAAAGACCGTAAGTTTACAGCATTGTTCACAATTATTTTTGAAATGTTTTCTGCCGCTAAAGCAACAACAATGTTAAGCAATCCTAAAGTGAACGACTCGCGAGTCAAATTTAGTAACGAAGAGACCCGATTAAAGGATTGTATCTCCTTGGGAATTTAAAACAAGAAAAAACGTTTACTTCGGTTGCACCGAAGCTATAATACCCTTCACAGATATAAAGGTGCCTTACAATAACTTGATTCCGATCTAATTTCGTGAAGATGCCTCGTCAAGGAAAAAAGTTTTCCATTCAGGCACTTTACTTCGATCGTTCAGTTAATATGGCAGCTATATGTTTTAGTCATCCGATCTGTACAATTTCTTCGGAGATTACACTATTGCCTTATAAGCAGCTTCTTAGTGAGAAAAGGACAAGTGCAAAATTTCGGATCGATAGCTTAAAAACTGAGAGACTAGTTTGCATATATATGGTTTTGTTACAAACTTCGTGGCAAACTTAATATACGCTCTTCTTCAAATTTTCCTTAGACCTTATTAGATATATTTGCCAGGTAATGATCAAAGGAATGAGGTTTTTGAAAATAATTTCCCTTCTTTAAGCCACTCTGAACTGTACATTTTTTCACAAATAACGAACGACTTTTTTTTCGGAAGCAGCCATTTTGTCAAAAATCAAAATTTTGACAAGTCCTTCGATCATTACCTGTATTCATCTATTAGAGAACAAATATTTTTGCTTTTTGGATTAGAGATAAATTAAAGCAGCAAAATCTACATCACCGCCAAACACTTTTTTCGGAGGTGCTCCTAGAGATCGACTACGGGATGAAGAGAATCCAAAATGACCGAACTACAAATGTACACTAAATTATATAATTTTTTAAAAATGTAATGTTATGTAATGCTGTTCACAAAAAACGCGGGTTTCCTCTTTGCAAATAGATATAACTCCTCAAACTTATCTCATTCTCGTGTATTTGTATTTCCACGTCGCTATAAAATATTATTTGTCATATCTTTTTCCACAAAACAATAAGTGAAATATTTCATTTAAGCTGTAAAATTTTAACCAGCTAATGTGCTTACTGGTGTTTCTTATCGTCGTAATCTCTCTCTCTCTCTCTCATTTGTAAATAGAAACTTCAGTTTGACGCTTCAACGCCCAACGTGAGAAGGGCAGTAACTCGACTTCATTTATTATGGACTGCTCTGGTGTAGCAGCGCCGCCAAGTACAAGAAGAGCTAAGTGTGGTGAATTACTAAGTGAGAATAGCAATTGTTGATTACTCACGAAAGTATTTCCTTTAAGTAAAATATAATATAAATATGTAGAATCTTGATAATTATACAAACTATTTCGAGCATGACGGAAATATATATAAACTTGTAGTAGTACAAGTATATTTACAGAAAAAAAAACATTATTAACTAACAGCATAAACGCATGCGCTCCAACAACACAATGTTCAAACTCTCGAGAGTTATTTCTCTGCTATAGGATTAAAAATAAAAATTGAACACGCCTACTCATTTTAGCACGATCAAATAGTAAAGTAATAATTGGCACTCTGTGACTGACTTCATTTACAATTATTCTCTACGATGCACTCTCTACGTGAACGCTTTTTCTTAAAACGACGAAGGTATGAGTAAACAATTTAATGCCAATCTCATAAACAACTGACTTTCTATACTTCAATATGTATATATATATATATGTGTTACAGTTATATTAACAAGAGACGTCGAAGTTATAGGGTATACTCGCCTAATAAAAATTTACAGATAAAACGAGCATTTCTTATATAAAGTGCAATGATTCCTGAAACAAATTTTTGATTTCGCAATGTATGAATTACAAATAATACTTGTAGATACTGAATTACTCGTGATAGTCCGTAGGCGCCACCATCGCAACTACCTGGGTCTTTCGATCACTATTTTATTATGTTGCCGTTGACCAGGTAACTCACCTTACTTACTGGAAACCAGAAAGATAATAACTAATTCACGGCACGTACAGAAACAAAGACAATGTGTGACAATCAGTTAATTTTGTGGAAGAAAGTAAGGACGTTTCATGCACTCAACCTTTCATGCATTACATAAGTGATGATCTTCTCTTTCAAGGCCTTGAAAATTTTTTAGGGCTATGTATAATATATGACCATTCTAGATTTCATTACTTAAGCGGTTATATTCACTTGCAAGTCAGATAAACACGTTTTTTTTGGGAATTTTTTCTGAAAATGCATTTTATTTAATGAATAAATAAAAAAAACGATGTATGTACGAGATTTTAATTTAATTACTCATACTTTTACAGAATTTAAAAACTTTAATAGACTGTGTCTGTATTCATTTTGGATTCCCTTGATTCCGTGACCGATATTTAGGAGGACCTTCAACCGGACCGAAACGGACATGGATTTTTATGGAGTCAAGGACTGTCAACCCGGCACCATTCCTCTAAATTACTTGTTTCCTACCACTACAACAATAACAATAACAGGACCTCCGAGAAGTTTTTTCTGCTTAAAATTATCTCAAATTCAAAAACCAAAGAACTATTATTACTATACATACATATGTATATTATATGAATGTACATGATGATCGAAGGACTAGTCAAAATATTGATGGCGGCTTCCCAAAAAGTCGTGTTTTGTAAAAACATTTACACTTCAGAGTGGCTGACAAATATATCTGAGAAGGTTGTGTGAATTTTCAAGTCGAACGATCTAGCTGTTTGGTAGAAATTTTCCTCGCCGAATGTGAAAACAGAGTTTTGAAAATCGACTTTTTAAAATACACAAGTGGATATAACCTGAAATAAATGAAACTATCTGTTTTATAAAACTGCTGAGATGCCAGTTGCTGTTTTCGTAGCGGTTATCTAATCCCCCTTTTTTGTAAGGTTAATTTTTTGTCATCAAAGTCCTAACTACCGGGAGGTCCAGGAAACGTGTTGTTTCGACGGGATCGAACCATGGGGATTGGGGTGTTAGAGGAGTGGGATTTATTGAGCATGCAAAGAAATGGTTAGAGTAATGCGGGGACTCATTGTACGCAAGACATGCATATATGAGATATTTCGGGGTCAATTCTGGATAGCAGGAGTTTAACCGGCTACAATTTCCAGCGCAAGGATCACTCTAGATTCTCGGGGCAACTGAGATGACAGCCATTTTAATCCACTCCATTTAAGTAGAACAGACTATTGTAGGAACCCGCGAACGTCAACACGCATCTTAATAGAGCACCAGGCCGAAAACCTTTAAAATATATTAATATCCGACCCCTACGGATATTAAAAGAGTATATACATATGTATGTTTACTGTTATCTAGGGGCATATATCAAATAACTTTTTCAGAGAACAAAAATTACTTCGATTTAGTTTCACATACATATGTATGGTACATCAACGTATATATGTATGTATGTATGTATGTAGATTCATGTGCAATATCACCACAAAATAGCCGCATTTATAGGCACATCACGCACTAGGCAATGTCGGTTTAATCAATGCAAACACATAAAAGGAGAATAGAGAAAAGTATTGTAATACATATGTATGTATGTATTTAGTTATGTTACTCCTACAACTTAAGCATAAGTTTTGCGTTGAATACTTAATTTCAACATGAAATTGGAAATGAGTGCAAATGAGAGGTTTGAATAGAAAATCGTTACCCACATTGAGATTGGTTGCACATCCTTCTATCTTTTCTAAAACTTTTGTAAGCAAAATTTATAGCCAACCCTTAAAAAGAGTTCACCACAGTGTTATTAACATTTAGAAACAAAATGAACTCTCAGAATATATGCAAAACGTGGGGTGGAGCATGCGCCTTGCCGAAGAAACTAAGAAATGAGAAAACAAAGAAGTCGAAAATACATATATTCATATGTATGTATGTACATATGTAATAAATGCATATTTGCGAGTATAAAACACGTTGAAAAAAAGAGGCCAAATAAGGGTCGAGCTCTTTGCTGGTAAGACAAACTTGCAATAAACTTAGTGCGACTGAAATTATTACTTCCTTACTATATTTATATATTGATATTATGTATATGTACATGTTTGTACATATTTTTATTAACACAAAAGCGGAAGAAATGTAGGCATAATGCATTAACAGCAACGTGCCCGAAGAATGCGTGCAAACAGGAAAGTAATTAGGGTAGCAAAGTTTATTGAATGCGAAGTTGAGTCATGAAATGATAGGCAGTACATAGGATATATGTAAGCATGAGGAAATCCCAAGAGACTTGTCGTGCAAGTAAGCAAATATGTGCATATATAATATATATATATATGCACATATATATATTTATATATATAATATATATGTATATATTTTTTACATTATTTTAATTAAAAACCATATGCAGAATTGTCAGACAGCTTGTCTCTAATAACACTGCCCTCAGATGTTCTTACTAACGAATCGTTCATATAAAAACTATAACATTTTGTTTCAATGCTTTGCGTTGTGTTTTATTTATAGCCGGCACTCATCAAATACAAACCATCAAAACAAATACGAAAATGTCGCTGAACTAATAAAATGGCATTGCTACACCCACCCGTCAAACGTTGCTTCGGCCAATTGGTGCAACTTATGACATCAACACATTCTAAAGACATTAGCTGTAAGAAAATATACAAAAATCTTAAGGAGGCGCAAAACAATAATGATGTTGCAATATATTTTTCAGTTTTGTTACAGTCAATCGGGAGCAATATTTCTTCCATACCATATATATGACTTCAAACATGTTTTCGAATACATAAACCTGATTAATGGTTGTTAAAGCTTCTTTCAAAGCATGAAGAAATTTAGTTATTTATGACATTCTTTTGACTTCACATATACATATGTATATATGTAAGAGCCAATTTACAAATATTTGATTAGCATATACTGAGAACAAATTCAGTTACAAAATGAACTAATGTACCATATTATGAACTTTAGAATATCTAGATTTTATTTGATTTAAAGATGCACTATTATTGTCAATATTCGCATATTTATATACCTAGATACAAAGTATTTCTTTAATAAATTAGAAAATTTCCTAACTTACATACTTATGTACACATTATAGAAAAACTCGATGAACCATAACGTTAAAATTACCAGCAGTGTCAGAAAACTGGTTTTCTTGTTTGACTCATTTTCGAGTCATTGCTCAAAGAAACAAATTTATTTAAGCAACCAAACATTTAAAAGTTCAAACCAAATGAATATGCACTTACCTACATACATTCATATATTATATGGGTGTGTGCTTAATTTGGCAAAACTTTAGCATTTACAAAATAAAGGAATGTTTTGAGTTCTTTATTCTCCATTTACCTTTATTTTGACTGTCTATAACTGAGCAGACACCTGAAGCGCGAGCGCCCAAAGTATGGTTAACAAAACAGTAAAATTGATTACAAAATGCTGGATGGCGGCAACGTATAGGAGTGCAAAACTCATTTCCGTACGAGCGTTAACAACAAAAGTTTTTAATATTCATATGGCTTTCTGATGATTGTTCACACGCAATTATTGTTTGTCGCAATTTCGCAAAGATAAAAAAAATATTTAAAGAGGAATAAATAGCGCGATAGAGAGAGGTAGCAAAGTGAAATTTCATTCCAACGCTTCGATGGTCATTCGTACACACATATGTAGGACTTACATATGTATGTAAGATATTATAGCAAAAACTAAATGCAAGGAGCTCATAAATATTTTATATTGGCAATAGCAGAGAATATTAATGAATATGAAAAATTATTAAAAAAAAAAAAAAAGTAATGAAAAAAAATCATTAACATTCTCTGATGCATGTAATGCAAAAATTTTATCTGGTTTTTTATGGAAACGTAAATCCAATCAGCCGACTTGTTCAGATGGTTGGCAACTCCGGCATTATTTGTGCAAAATCAATTTGTTGCTAATCTAACTGTTCTCTAACTTCCCACGACCAATAACGTGTTTTCCATTCCTGGAGAAATTAATGCTTAACGAATTCTGCGCGTACTTCTGTTTGATAAATTATAAATAAATAAATAAATATGACATACATACCTTATTTGATTTGAAATATAAAATGATTTCTCAACAAACTTAAATTGCCGTCGTCAACTTCGAGAAGGTCGGTTAGTTCGTACGCCCTTGGGAGGGTGCTGGCAGGTGCTCCACAGAAAACTGCACCACCATTGATATGTGGAATTGGGAAGTCGGTATTGGGAACGCCCACCTGCCTATCGATGACTTTTAAATCAGTTTAATTTACTGTTAATACGCAAATATATCCTCTTTCGTCGCTCACTGTTGAATAATTTACTATTTAATGAGCAGTTATGTTGTTCTTTATTCCTTTTTCATTTATCTTTACTGCTTTTTAGCTTTTTAAACTTTTTCTGTCACATAAATTATACACAATGGTTCACTTCACTCTGATTTATTTCTGTCGACAGTTATTGACTTTCATGGATACTTTATGTAATCGTAATTTCGAATGAATTCTTTTTCACATTTGTATAAAATATCTTTTCTAAATTTCGCTTTTTTATCTTGAACACGGACTTATTTTGACGGCATCGTCAATTTTTTCGTTTATGATGACTCGATTTCGTTTCGGAAGTAGCGTAAAACAAAATTGCTGACGACAGTCAAAAACAACGCAGGGTCGCATTAAAAATGCAAAGTGTTGTGTATGTTCAATTTACCTTAATTATTATTTAAAAAAAAAAAATATTTAATAATATGCAATAATATTCTCAAAATTAAAATAGTACTATATCAGCTGAGACGAGAGAATCTGCAGTCTCTGCTGTTTGTTATATTATTTATTAGGGTAACTTTTTACAAATTTATTAGAGGGAGTATAAACAGAGATTGCAGTGTGTCATTGTATTTTGTTTTTAAATCATAAATGAAAATCGAACAAACCTTCGCTCAAAAGTAGTTGGCAAATTGCTTATGTTTGCCGGCATATAATTTTCGTTAAAGTAAACAAAATAACATCTTGTTAGAAATAATGAATTTATTGCTTTTTTATTTGGTTCTAATAACCAGAAATCATTTTGCACTTTCAACAGTTGGAGACGCTAACTTTGATAACGTTTGTACCATAGAAAGCATAGAAAATTGTTCACATTTGGATATTGAAAACCGTAGGAAAGTTACATTATAAATTTGATCATTTATTAACCACCTGTTTTTATTTTGTAGGCAATATCATAATAAATGAAGTAAGGAGATCTTTAGAAACACATGTTCCATGTTCGGATGAGGATGATAATAATTGCAAATGCTATAGCGAAGTTATAACAAATGATTTAAAACCATTTGAAAAGGGTATAACTCAGCAAATGCTGAACAATACAGCAAAATATGGAACTCGATATAAAATTTTGAAACATCAGCTATTTCGTGACAGAGAGTGCATGTTTCCTGCACGCTGCAGTGGTATTGAACATTTCCTATTAAATCTTTTAACCGAACTACCAGACATAGATATGGTAGTAAATACTCGGGACTGGCCCCAGGTTCTCACTGGTCTTGGCAGCAGAATTGGACCCATATTCTCATTCTCTAAAACAAGTGACTATTTAGATATTTTGTATCCAGCGTGGACATTTTGGGCTGGTGGTCCTGCAATTTCTCTGCATCCCACTGGTATTGGTCGCTGGGATTTATTACGCGACAGCATATCCAATGCTGCTATTAAAACCCCATGGTCTGAAAAGCTATCACTGGCTTTTTTTCGTGGATCACGCACTTCCGATGAACGCGATGCTTTGGTTCTTCTGTCACGTCGTAGGCCGGACTTAGTTGATGCTAAATATACCAAAAACCAAGCCTGGAAGTCTCCGAAAGATACTCTTAACGCTGAGCCTGCGAAGGAAGTTTTGTTAGAAGATCATTGTCAATATAAATATCTCTTTAATTTTAGAGGTGTGGCTGCCAGCTTTCGTTTTAAACATTTATTTCTTTGCAACTCACTAGTATTTCATGTCGGCGAGGAATGGAAGGAATTTTTCTATTTCGCACTGAAGCCATGGGTGCATTACGTGCCACTAAAAAGTTATCCAAGTCAAAAAGAAATTGAGAACATTTTAAACTTTTTTCTTGAACATGATGATCTGGCTCGTGAAATTTCCGAACGTGGTTCGCAATTTGTTTTAAATCACCTACGTATGCAGGACATCGAATGCTATTGGAAGAATCTCTTACTATCATATCAAAAGTTAATCACTTTTAAAGTTGAAAGTGAAACTGAACTTGTTCAAATTAGTCCTATACAGAGGCAGGAACTATGAATATAATGTATTTCAAATATAATAGACCTATTGTATATCCAAGGAAGAAAATGCTAATGCTCACGAGAAACCGTTAAAGTAAATAAAAATTATTTGTTTACAATCTAATTGAGGTTATTGTCTCCGACTAAATCAAACGTCAAAGTCATATGTTCTTCACATATTTATTGCTTTCAAATTTTCATGTACTTTTTGTAATATTGTGTTATTTAATTTTAAGTAAAAATGTCTTTTCGGGAGGCATTTAAACTAGTAACCAAGCAATCCATACGCTGGTTTCCTGGGCACATGGGTAAAGGATTAAAGCAAATGCAGCAAAAATTAAGATCTGTGGATTGTATTGTAGAAGTACATGACGCCCGTATTCCTTTTTCGGGGCGAAACCCGGAATTCCAGCACACAATATCTGGTGGAGCAAAACCACATATATTTGTTTTAAATAAAAAGGATCTTACTGATATACGGGAGCAACGAAAAATTGTGAAAGAGCTTCAAGAACGTGAAGGCATCCGGCATGTTTTATTCACCAATAGCAAGAACCAACAGTGCAACGGTATCAAACGTATATTACCTTTAGCACATTCATTAATATCCAACTCGGATCGGTATAATCGGACGGGATTAAAGGAAGCGAGTATCATGATAATTGGAGTACCCAATGTTGGTAAAAGCTCACTTTTAAATGTGTTACGAAATAAGAATTTACGGAAGAAAAGTGCAACACAAGTCGGAAATATAGCTGGAGTTACCCGCTCGGTTATGGAACGCATTAAAATTAGTGAAGATCCTTTAGTATATATGATTGACACACCCGGGATTCTCGAACCGCGCATTGCAGATGACGAAATGGGTATGAAATTAGCATTAGTGGGCTGCTTACCAGATCATTTAGTTGGTGAAGAATTGATAGCGGACTACTTGTTATATTGGATGAATAAAAACCGCCGGTTCGAATATGTTAAAGAAGTGGGCTTAGAAAACGCTACCGATAACATAATAGAAGTTCTAGTGTCTTATGCGAAAGGTTTAGGTGCTGAAAGAAAATATAAAAATCTCGATGGACAAATAGTGAATATACCGGATGTTTTGGTTGCAGCACGTAAATTCATTAAAAATTTTCGAAGTGGTGTCTTCGGAGGTGTTAATTTAGATAGATGATTTTCTTTTGGAAACGTTTATATGCATATATTTATAAATTTGTAAAAAATATGAGTAAAATTATATATATATATATATATAAATTATTTTTATTACTGTTTAATAGTTATAAAAATAATACATTTTTATGGATATATTGTTATAGATTTATAGTGCTGAACTATCTAGAATTGGTACATCTATTGCTATGTTTCCAACTCCAGGCACTGGAATAGAATAGGATACAGCGGTACTATCAATACTACCGGAGCTTTCATTAGCATTAGGTTGGGTTACATCACCTGTCATCAAAGTAACAGCTCCATCAGCTGCATCATTTTCGGCAGTGACTGTTGTTATATCAGGATTGCCTGAAGGTATTTGCTGTTCATTCATATTCATCACACGTAACTCGTCTGGAACACCCAACAGACGCTCATTTATAACACGTTGGAATGGTGAGCGCCTCTCAAAAAAATCAATTACAAACTCAGGGTTCTTCTGCCTTACTTCCTCCCCGACAACCAAATCAAGCTCATCGCAAAACTGCCATTTAATTAGGTACGATACGTCACCGGTTTCATCAGTTGCCCCAACAATTTGTTCCATTGCTAAACCACGTTCATAGCCTCGAGGCTTTAGAATTTCCTCGACCTTCGGTTTCTTTTCTCCACGTTTCTTTGACTTAGCTCTGGACTCTTCAAACTTTTGTATTAAAGCTGGACAGTCACAATTCTCCTCAGGTTCCCAAGTATTCTCCGCACTGTAAACAAAAAAGGTGTTTATATTGAATAAATGGATATCACAAACATACCTAGGGTATCCACGCCATTTAATATAATATTCAACTTTCCCTTCTGGTGTTATTCGTTTGTCGACAATCTTTTCGACAACAAAACCAGTTTCCTTAACTGTTCGTACCATTGTTTTGTTTAAACAATATTATATTAATTTTATAACAGAACTCCACTAAAATTGTATAGAGATAAAAAAAATTATCAAAACTCAGGGTTGCATCGCGACGCAATAAAATATAAATTTCAAAAGATAGAGGAACTCTGGTGAAGTTTATGAGTGGAATTAAGAGAGCTCAAAATGGCATGCACTGATATCGCAAAAAAAGGGTAAATATAATATTATTGTCTTAAGTTTAATAACACAAGCCTGTATATTTAAATTATAAATTACTTTATTTAAGTATCTAGTACCATAAAACTTGGTTTCTCAGTCTGTATGCCAAACGGTAGAAAAAGGAAAATTCTGACAGCTAAAATTGAAATTTTGACGTTTTTCGTGGTGAATCTAAATTTCAAATTTACTAACACCCGAGCTAGGTAAAATGTTGACAACTTGTATGTATGCATTCAGAAATAAACGAATTTAAAAGAAGCGCTGGGTAAATAACACGTATGGTATATGTTATTAATTCGTAATTATTCATTTGTTCATGTTATTATTTATTCCATTCAATAAAGAAATGATACTCTAGAAAAGGAAAATTCTTGACTCCTTCCGAATTTTTATTATATATCCGAAATATTGCAAACTAAAATTAAGATTAAAGAATTAAGTAAAAGTTATATATTTGTAGTTATTTAGATTTTAATGTAAATGTATTTTATATATATATATAAAGAAAAAGTAGCTTCGTAGTATCCTGGCATGTTGCCTAAAATTCTCAATTAATAACAAATCTTTAATTAAACCAATTTGTTTTAGTTTCATTAATATAGTTATTGCAAGCAAAGTATTGACTTTTCATTTATTTCATTTTACCAATATATGTAAATAAATAACAAGGCAATCATTCAAATGATGGAGTTGCGTTTGTTTTGAACTTCAACTGTCAAAATTTTTCTTTCCATTTGAGCTAGCAACATTTAAAATTTGTTTACACCATACGAAATTTTTTCACCCCATCTCACCACATGGAAAAACGTTAAGACTCATTCACATACAACTTTTCAGATTTTACGTGACAGTTCATACTGAAACAACGAATCGCAGAAAACAAAGTGTAACAACACACAAAAACAATTAACGTTTTGCTTTCAGCGTTTTTCACTAAATAAAATAAATAAATACCATCTGTTACTTGGCAAAGCGTAAAAGATGCGCGTTGCCCAATATTTTACTTCGCGGTGAAAAGTTTTTATGTGAAGGAACTCATACAAATCGTACATTGAACTTTTCTGTCAAAACAAATATTCAGACGCAAAGTTATATAAAAGTTCTATGTGAATTGGTCATAATTCCCGTTTTGAAAAATGGTAAAACGCAGTGCTGCATTACGCAGTATTAAATAGACAATTTAATAATATATGAAAACTAATTGATGACGTGTATTTATAACAAGAGGAAATATACTTTAATATATAATAAGCTTTACTAATGATAGGAAAAATTGATATATGTTTGAAAAAGTTGCAATAAAATAATAATTTCATTATAAAGCATTTTTCATTCGTTTTTATTCAAACATGAATCTCTGAACAATTAACACAAAGCCCGCAGTTTTATGTGGTGAATTTAGCTGCCGAAATTACAACAACTACAATAGAAAGTGTACTACTGTGCCTAAACATATTAAACAAAAGCGTGGAAGTGGCTTCATAAATACCTATATTTTTGTTTAGAGAATTTACAATTTAGTAAAATAAAAGCAAACGTAATGGGCAAGGAAAAGAAGCAATTTAATATTGGAGATTTAGTTTTCGCAAAGGTGAAGGGGTACCCGGCCTGGCCTGCAAAGATAACTAAGTATAACAATAAAAAGTACAGCGTGTACTTTTATGGAACTGGCGAGACAGCCAACATTAAAGTGGAAGATCTCTTTCAGTATGTGGAGAGTAAGGAAAAATTTGCTACCGATAAAAATCTTAAACGTTCAAATTTTCGCGAGGCTATTGAGCAGATAGAGGCAGCCTTGAATGGCGAAGACTCGGCACCAATCGATTTACCGGAGGCTGCAGCTACGGCGGACGAATTGTTAGATGATGGAATTGACGGATTTGCGGATGTTACTGCTGATGATTCGCAAATACAAGAAAATGCGACTCAGGAAATAATAGACAAGGATGCTGACTCTAGCGCAGCAAATATCGATGAGTCGTTGCCAAATAAACCAAAAGAAGATAAGCAAGTTCCAGTCGTAACGTCTACTACTGATAACGCAGAATTAGTTAGTCGCAGTGGACGAAAAATCAAAACGAAACGGTACATTGATGAAGTGCATGAGGGTCCCAATCTTTCCCATTCGCCACCGGCGAAGAAAAAAGTACCAGCAGAAGGTAAGTACAAATGAAGCTGAGGAAGTTAGCGGGCACTTTTGTTAGTTGAAACAAAATGGAATTGGAACGTGTTGTTTTTGATTTCACATAAATTTGGCGGACATACATATGTTTAATCGTCGACAATGTTTATCCTACACTTTCTCATGCATGCTTTGGTATTTTGCTGTAAAATGCAAATGCTAGAATTCTATATATCACTTAAAAGAAATATTGAAGAAAACACGATTTATATGATAAATACTTAAAACAAATCTATCTCGGTTCTCGCCACGAATAACAACAAATTTGTCCTAAACTAGATGTTATATTGTTATTATTGTGCAGTATAAGGGTAAATCATTTTCCCAAATAATTTTGGACAATGCTGCCCCAATAACAAACCTGCCTTTAATATAGTAAGTTAAGTTCATAAAACATTTTCGTTAAATAATATTTCGTTCTTCACAGGTGTTGGTGCAGATTCGAAAAAATCTGCAAAGAAGTCGAGCAGTTCCTCTAAGCCCACGGCTACCATAACGCCAACCGTAAAGAATTCAGTGGGTAACAAAAGTGAAGTCTACAACAATCTTTTATTAGCTTTCGTACCACCAGCTAAATGTGTTGGTATCAAATTGGATTACGGAAAACCAGAAACATTCGCAACCCCATCAGAACGTATTAAATGGGAAGAGAAGTCTCGAAAAGATGCTGGCGACCTAAAAGAAAAACTGGAAATTGGTCAAATAAAGCTAGATGCGGTAAAAGATCGTGTTATTGTAAATCCTCCAAGGTCAAAAATCCATCAAGATGCTGCAAATAGATTTACCAACCAAATGATAGAACAAGAAGATGCGCTCTTTGTTGAACGAGATTTTATACAAATGTCGCAGCAATTGCGTGAGAGTTTAGGCCTTAAGAGTGCCGACGTTAATCGATGTGTCGAGTTGCTTAAGCAGTATAAAGATTTCGAATTGACACAGTTAATGCTATTACGTAATCCAGATTGTGTGGATATTATAAGACGTTTGCGGCGCTACGTCGGAAATTTAAAAGAATGGTCTTTGAGCGCCGAAGAAGAAACTGAATTTAGAACTAAAGCAGAAATAATACGCAATGAAGCAATTGTTATTTACAATTATTTCAAGAAAATTTTTAAAATTTCATCTGATCAACAATTTTGGGAGCCTTTCTGTGATCAAGTTAAAACCTATAAGGAGTGCACAAAACATATTAGCGAGCAAAATCGTATTACAATGAGTGAGAAAACGTATATGAGTATTCTTGCAAATTTTAAAAAAGATGGAAAACGTGCTCAGGATAAAGAGTCAGAGTCGAAAAGTGATGTTAAGAAGGATAACATAAACGAAGACAATCCAGCGGATGCTAATGAGAAACCTAACACTAGCGACACCGAAACTGACAGAGTAGAAATGGACGACTCCATCGCAAACACAGAAAGCAATATAGTAGAAGCTTTAGAGTCTTAAATATTACTTGTTCAGAAAATAAATATTTGAATAAACCAGATTCAATTCATTGTCGAACTGGTCATTTAACTGTTGGAGTGCTATAAATAAAAAAAATTTCTAAAATCCGTATTTTACATACATACATACCTACATTTAATATATATGAAAAACATTCTGTAGAATATTTAATTTGTTTTTTTTTTTTGTTTTAATTCCAAATCGAATAATGTATCAAAAAAATAAATCTACTTATATATAACATTGGCTTATAAAAGTATATTGTTGCTCGAAACAGACATCTTACATTAATAAAATATGTCAACTATCCTACTAATGAAACCAGCGGGATTGGTTTCAATACGCTTCAACACATCTTTGATATCATCTATGCGTTTATAATGTGTCACACCAATAAGTTGCCAAATCTCATAAATTATTTGTATTTACATTTCTTATGTCAATAATTTCGTTATTTGATTAAATTGATGCGAGTTTATAGATAATGAACTGAAGAACATCACATAAATTCAATAAATATGAAATAGTATCTAGAGATTTTCTATATAAAGATATACAAGCAACGCATACACATAATAAAGCTATCAATATCCATTAATAATTATCTTAAATATCCTTTTATTGCGTAATTGCTTCCAATTACACATCACAAATTGAAAAGTAAGTATTAATTATTTAAATATAAACAACATGTAAAGGTAATTAGTTAAAAATAAAAAAAAAAGATGCATTTAATTTATTCTTTTGCATCTCCGACTCCGTCGGGTAAAATAGCAAATGTAGCTTCACTCTCGGGTAAACACGGCGAGTCGTATATTTTACAGATACGAGTTTCACCTCGTCCTTTACGCAGATATAGCCTAGTAGTCGATGCATGGGCGATAATATTTCCACCTATAGGTTTTTTAGTGTCCGCTGCAAACATTGCCGGACCGCTATCGACTTGAGCTACCACTTGATTTGTTATAATTACAGCGACACCAAACTGAAATCCAAAAATGGTGATAATTATGAAAAAATAAAGTATATTGAAGATATATACCTCATCAGCTAAGCGCAACAATAGACGTAAAAAACGTGCCAGATGCATTTGACGTGCCGATAATTCACCTCGCCCTGTGTAATCAGTACGGTACAAAGCAGTTGCGCTATCAACTACAAGTAGGGCATACCTAATCATACGTTAATTAATGAAAATTTTTATATTTATATATATATAATTATGTTTCACCGTGATTCCACCATCATTGCAGCAGCTTGTGTCAGCAACTGCGTCTGGTGATCTGTGTTGTAGGCTCGAGCACAGGCAACATTATCAAGTACCTTGAAAATGGAAGAGTGATATTTTTTGTTGTATCACTTTAGTTAATAACTACTGTTTCGATTTACCTCCTCCTTAACAAGTTTGAATCGTTCCGCAATGGCAGCTAAACGTTCCGGTCGAAATGTACCTTCCGTATCGATATACAAGCATTTACCTTCACCACCACTCCGACTTATTGGTAACTGGCATGTTACAGCCAATGTATGACATAATTGCGTTTTGCCGCAACGGAATTCTCCAAACATTTCAGTTATGGACCCTGTTTCGATGCCTCCCCCAAGTAATTTATCGAGCTCCTTCGAACCGGTTGTGAGCATTACAATTTCGGAACGTTTTTGATAAATAGATGTGGCAGTGGTGAAACCCATCGGTACAAGCTTAACTGCTTCTGTAAGGATCTTATCAGCTTTTGTTTCAGAGAATCCACGTATTTGCAGTAAAAGTTTCTTTGGTGAAAATGCTATTGACTCCACCGTATGAAATCCCGCCTCTTGTAGTCGTTTGATGTCATTGTTTGATATTCCATTAACCTGTAAACGATTGCAGTATATTAAATAAAACACTAAAACTTTTGTTTTTTTTTACAAACTTCCAACTTGGTAATTGAGACAGGACCAAACTCCTCTTCTAATTCCACAGAGCAGTTAGCCAGGGCGGTTGTATCAACGGTTTCTTGTTCTCTCATATACGACATATTTTCAATATATATTTAGAGGTTTTAACAATTATACCTTTATTAGCATTAGCGATTTCTTAAAAATTCTTTTTACACTTACTGGTGATAATAAACAAATTGAAAATTGCGCTCGCATTTTTCAGTGCTGCCAATTCTATTTTATGAACTTAAAAACTTTATGAAAAAGTACATATGAGAATATTAAGAAATTATATTTGATTATTTAAAAATGCTCATTTAACATAATTCACCTATATTTTATTATTATAAATATATATATTTTCATATTGCTTAGGCCAAATTGTACAAGGGGGGTTGAATTTTTACACACACTGAACACACCGAAATGACATTTGGATAACCTATAAAATTACATAAAAACAAAATGCCGACATGTTCTCATATTTTCTGTAACAACACACATGTAAATCTTGAAATAGTAATAAAATTTGTTAATACACATAGAAAACATTGATAGTATGACAAACTATTTTCACTTGGATGTGGAATTGTGAGTACCATTGCTACTGAAGCAAATAATCATTCATAATTATATGCAACGTATGATAGGAAGCTACGCGACGAAGACAAAGCTGTTGTTACTCCTGCTTACTTTCTTGGGAGCATAGAGGAATCATTGCAAGGTTTTTTTGGTGAGATTGGAGGACAGACCGACTTACAAGTAATAAAATTTGATAAGAATCAAAAACGTGCAATTCTCAGAGTACACGAAGAATTTGTGACGCGCACACGTTCAGCAATTACACTAATTGGACATTTCCAAGACATTCCTTGCCATTTCATAATAAGAAATACATCTAAGGAGCAGCTAGACTTTTAAACTTTTCTAATTCACGTTTAAGATTACAATGTCGTACTGCAAGGTATTTGGCAAAGATAAAGTTTTCTTTGTTACCAAAGAGGATCATGCAACACCTAGCAATATTGAGTTGCCACCACCAGAACCACCACAAGGTCTTATAACCAGTGATGGAGAAATTAATTGGAGTTGCCCATGTCTAGGAGGCATGGCTACAGGTCCGTGCGGTGTTGAATTTCGTGATGCATTTTCTTGCTTTCATTATAGCAAAGCAGACCCCAAGGGCTCTGATTGTTTCGAAGCTTTTAGAGCAATGCAAGATTGTTTTGTACAATATCCCACAGTATACAATAAGTCTACTGGTAATGATGAAGATGACGAGGAGGGCGGATTAAACATGCCAAATTTGGAAGAAGCTGAAAAAGATGCATCAAACGTGGTTCTTGGTGTGGAGGGTTCGGCCGTACTTACCAAGAAAGAAAATTGAGTTATGGGTAGATGGGGAAGAAAAAGTGTACGTTTAAAGTCGGGGAAAAATTTCTTCAATCAGCAATGAAATTGGAAAAAAAAAATGTTAATTGATTTAATTTTGTTATAATTGCATTTTTAATGTTCATCGTTACCTTGCAGATAGATTTTTAGTAATAGTTCTATATATAATTTAACATCTGAAATATAGAAATGTATATTATTCCAAATATTTAAATATATATTCTTCTATATATTATAAACTGGGAAACCGGTTTGGATGATTCAAAAAAAACTTTTTATTGCATAATTGTACAACTATTCATGAATATGTTGCTTAACTTTCAAAACGAAATTCCAATTAGTTCCGATGATATGAGCACTAAGGTAAAAACCGGTCGATTTAGTGCCGAAGCGCACTTTTTTTTTCAAATGCGTTTTTTTCGCAACGACTGTTTCAACTTGCGGGAATAAAGTTATTGACGAATCTATGTGAAAGTTTGTGTGAATATCCTCTATTCAAGTTCAAAATATATGAACCAAACTGAAATAATATTAAGTAAAATATATATTTTGTAATGTAAAAAATGTGAAAAAAATTATATAAAAACATAATGGTTTGTTCAAACACCTTCAAAACATCTAATTTTCAACTCTTTTGGCCAAAGTTTGGTTCATATTCTTAGAAAATATGTTGCTAACGAAAGAAAAAAAAAAATTATTTCAGATTAATTCTGTGACTACCACGTGTCCCGCCAGCAGTCAACTCTGATGGCGGTCTTCAATGGACACCACCCTCTAACTCCACCACTTCCGGCGGAAATGGCATCGAAAAATTTAAAAGTGTAGTTCAAAATAGGAATAAACTACCCTGCAAGTGTAAACAAATTCTAAGTATTCTTTCTCAGTTAAAAAAAAATCACAAAAAACACTAATTTCGGCTTCCTAAACTGGTTTCCCCCCTTAAGGCACATTTTCGATATACGGCCTAAAAAGTTTCGCATAACGTCGAAATAATCAATGCGAAAACGACAGTAAACAACCTGTGAGAACTTCGTAACCTTATATTTTGTGTATTTATTTTTGTCCTCTCATTGAACTGGCTTCTTGTGTTTATGTCTTATTTTTATTTATTTTGTATAAAAAGACTTAACTGTATTATAATTAAATAACTTAACTTTAATACATGACAGTAAAAAACATTCGTAAAGCATTTAGCGCAGGGCATATTTTCTTAACGGCACTGTTAGTGTGTGTTTACATTAGGGCTCTTTTGACACTCATTATCGGCAAATTCTCTTTTGGTGTCGCTCTGTGCATTCACACGAGCAAAAAGAGTCCAGCAACTCGAATCGAGTTTTCTGTCATTAGTTTTCATAAAATTTTCGCAAATGTTTGTTCGTTCGGCTACGCGACACTTAGAGTGTGTTGCAGATTTTATTTGTATGTTGGGATGGTGGTCCCACATTTTGCTTGCAAAGTTAATAGTTTCAAAGAAATACTTAAGACGGGAATTCCCTAATCCACCAGAATGTATTGAATACCCGCTACTGATATTTTGAAGGCCAAATTTATAACAGGAATTTCCTAATCTTTAAGTATCAAAAGTTCATAATTTCTTCACTACATATTTTTGTCTATTTATTATAAAACATCCTTGAATTAATTACAACTCTTGTTATACCTATATAAAATGATGATATAAATAAAATAAATCCTTTGCGGTTAAAAGAAATAAATATGACAGCATCTTTATATTTTATATAAATATTAAACAGTAAAGTTACCATTTTTATTAAAATTCTTTTATGTATACTGGTATATTATTACATTTAATACCGCTATATGTTATCAAAAATGTAAACTGACTATTTTTGAGTAACTTAATTTTCTCCTTTTTTATATTTTTCAATATATTTCTTTTATTCTCAGCATACATATTTGCATATCACATACAAAAAATAGATACCAGAATTCAAATTTCTGAACGAATTGTATAGATTCATTTCAAACCGAGCGCTCTTGCAACCATTCAAAGAATATGAAAGTGAAAAGGAATGCTGAAAAGGGTAGCAACGAGCTGTTACGAATCCGAACACGGGTGACACGGTCCCTTCGTCTTACCCCGTCGTCCCCTCGCCTATACTTAACCGGTTTGGGTTACAAAAGAGTCCCAATGTAAACACACTTTTACTGTTGCAGAAGTTAATTTCCTTCTTTGAATTTTTGATCTAGCACATCATTACGGCTTTGAAGATGAAAACGAACGTGATGTGCTTGATCTACTTGAAGCAGGTAGGGAATCCCTTTCATATGAGGAGCTCATTCAGTTGCAAGCAAAACCGCCATCTAATGGATACAGAGCCTTTTGTAACAGTTAACATAAAAATTTATCTAACATGAAGTTGTTTCACTTTTGTTTATAGATTATTGTTGGATTTTGGAATCCAATACTATTTTATGTATAAATACACGCACGTTATAATAAAAATAATAAATAAAAATTCATTTTAATGATAAACCATGTTACATATTTAACAAATGTGGAACCGATCTCATTGAATTGGTATTAAAATAATAGATTCCTTATACGGCTTTTCTATCGTGAAACGAATCTAGACCGTTAAGCGAAGTATTAGTGTATAGTAATCATATTATTTTAGCGCGCGATGTCCAATCACTATAATAACTCGGTCTTCTTTTTCACTTAACTCATTTAATTAAAAAGAGATAGCACGAAAATATTTTGATGATACTACACTGGCCTTGAATGCAGAGTTTCTTTGAATTTAAATATCTCTTCACTTTTCTATTTTGACCTCATTGTTTTTGCTTTCATTTCCTTGCCTTCTATCAGAGTTACCAGGTCCAGACGAAATAAAATTATTTCTTCCTACTAAATCCTTTTTTGAAGAGTTTTGCTTATCGGTTTAAAGCAAAGGGATGCAAAATCTGAAACAATTATATTTTTTTATATGTATTTAATTAAAATATACATAGGATGCAGTTAAGAAATGGTGTAATATACCAAATTTTATGAAATGCAAGTATATGAAAGTACAACATTTTTTATTGATGCAACCCTGTTGCTTGGAGGTCATTTATTCTTTTTTTCGTTGATTCGTTGTCTGTCAATTACGTCGTCGTCGTGCATGTTCGTTCAGTCACTTAATTCGTCAAGTTTTTATTCCTTTTTGATATTAAGTTCACCATTGTGTAAATGAAATAAATCTTAAATATTGAGATGAAAATTAATTGTGTTAATGGGCAGAAAAATGCCTGAAGACAATAGATTGTGTAATCTGCAAAAGAAAGATAGTATCTCAAATAAGTTTTGGGTTCAAAAGTGTAAAGTGCAATTTTACGATAGACTGAGAAAAACACAAAACAAGTGTGGAAAATTTCTCATTTAAAAGTCATAAGTAACTTATAAAAACTTGGCGTGTTTCATATACGAGAATATTATCCGTGGTTTGAAGCACCCTTGTCAAAATTTCTCACTCTTTCCTTCCTCTTGGGATTGTGGAGTGCGCGGCAATTAAGTCTAGATTTATTGTGCGAAGGAAAAAAAGGCGAAAGAAGTAAATAGAAAGTTTAAATGCCAACAGCCACCAGTGTCGTGAGTGTGGAATTGCTTTCCTCTATCTGTCCTATTTTGCTCCAACGTCGGTGGCCATTTAAACCAAACGATCAACATCGATTGGGTAATTGTCCTCAGTGAGCTTGAAGAAAAGGAAGAATAGTAAAAAGTATAATTGTGTTTTAACAAATAGTAATTTGTAATTGAAGTGTTACAAAGAGTTAATCCTGTTTAGTAATATTTCAGTGTCAAAGCAAATATCACCACATTTTAATTTGTGTTTAAAAATAATTGTGTCATAATAATTAAGGATACAAGCAAGTTTAAGTGATACATTGAGATAATTGGCGGACAGCAAACAATTCATTTTAGCCGCCGTCATTACTATCAAATAAAGATATATACAGATAAGATATAGTTCCACATGAAAACAAAAAGTATCTAGAAAGACAAAGTCAACTAAATAAGCAAATTTTATTAAAAAAAAAAAACAACAAAATGGTTGCAATCAGCTCTAATATAACCAAAACAGCTGCTGCCGAGTCTACAGCCTCCACAGTGATGCTAACCGCCAGTGGTAAACCAAAAGAAAAAAGGAGGTAGGCATATACAGTTGATGGAAATGATCATACGATTCATAAAGTCAGCATATATATTAGGGCTCTATAATATCTTATAAGTATATACATATATTCACACTGAATTAATTCAGAAAAATTGCAACAATATATTTAATACAATATTTATATATATTGTATTTAATACAATATTTATATATATTGTAGTACGTATACTGTTTTAACTCTTGTAAAAACGTTTCCCTCTCCCTTTTGCTTAATGGATAGCATGTCGGAAAACAATTGGGACGGTTAGTAATTTTGGTGTGTATATTTTTATCGCTGATAAATACAGACGTTTTTTTAATTTTTCTGATAATAGATCAATGATAAAATTAAAATACTTTTATTTTTTTACTTGCTCATTGATGGAACTGATTTTCTCTGTTGTTGTAACGGTGCCCTAGTCCCCTTTGGGTGATAAATTCCAGTTTGGTTGTCGTCGAGGTCATCTAACGTGAGGCCCAGGAAACGAGCTGTTTCGACGGGGTCGGACCATAGGGAGGCTGATTTTCTATCTTTGCTTTCGATTATATTTCACTTTTGTTCAACTGCTTGATTACGCAATTTCTTCAATCATCTTGAATTGATACAGGTTCGACTTTAATACACCGTCCCAGGCTTTCGGGGATAAAATGGGTATGGGCGGATAGTGGATATCATCCAGATAAAGAACATATATAGATAGCCGCGGAAAACTTATAGTTTTCGAGATATATACGTTTAAAGTTGTAAATTTCAACTATTTGAAGTACGTGTTTTTCGATTTAAAATGAATTATACACTTATATTTTTCACTTTTATATCCATTAACACTTCACTAATTTGTTTTTAGACATTAGACGCGGTTCTTGATCTGGAGGATCTCCTCTATCCGCCCATACCCATTTTATTCCCGAAAGCCTGGGACGGTATACTAAAGTTTTCCCCTGATACAAAATGTACATATTCTATATAGTTTTGAATCACAGATTCGAAGTCATCATGAATAAAAGTAAAAAATAATAGAAGAATAAAATTTAATAAAGTTTCAAAATGCTATTAACACATTTTCTTTCATTAATTAAGGAAAAGAAACACTCCTATTTTGCACATTTA